TTAAAATAAAAAAATAAAATAAATAAATACCTGCTGGAACTGATCCACTGTAATGGGATTACAATGAAGAGCTATATTCTGTAGAGATTTACAGTCCTTCAACAAATTCTGAGGTAGCTGCAGATGATTTGGTGCATCAGTGCATGAATTTCAAGTAAATAAAATGATACATTTGAAGCTTTATTTCCTCTGTCAAATCAATTACATTCATGATTATAAACATTGATTTTTTTTTTGTTTTTGCAAATTCTGTTATGTATATTATAAATTATCTACTTTAATTGTTCATTCCGAATGCTCTAGTTCCTTGTTGTTTATGCTTTTAATGAATAATAGTTTTTTACTGAGTTTAATTTGTCAAACTCACTTGTTGATATTTTTAGCAAGTTCTATCCAACCACCTAGATGACCTTCTTCATAGGAGCAAAGTTTACATTTTTAGAGATATTTTTTGGTATTTTAAGTTTCATATTTGTTATTGTACTTTTCCTTTTGGATATGAGTTATTATTTCTATATTGGTTTTTCATTTTTGTTAATTTCTTATTTTTTCTTCAGTTGTATTAGTTGCTAAACTTTTAAATATGAAAAAAAAATAAAATCACTTTTTTTTTGCTTGTTTTAGTTTTTGCTTGTGTATTATCTTTCTTTTTGAGAATATACAACAAGTTCACATTCTTTCATCACACCTTATGTTTTTCGGGTGTACAGCCTAACTGGTAGCGACGACTCCACCGAACATTAAGTTAAGCTTTCCTCAAGTTCAGGATCAACAGACATTGTCTAATATAGAACAGACAATTAAAGAAATAACTTTACCTCCAATTTTCTTCAGCCAGTCTTTGCATTGATAGTTCTCTTTTTGTGGTCCCTACCCAATTTAATTGTCGATGTTTCAGTTCATTTCAAAGCTTCTAAGGTTTTTAATTGGTCTCATTTATTTTTTACTTCTGGCACATTCTTAACCAGTTTTCACTTGATTAATTTTATGTTTTGCCAGTCTTTTTTGTTGAAATGTGTTGGAGATTAATTACTTAATTCTACTTCTTTTTGACAAACATTTCAAAAAACAAGCACAACTTATGTCTCCAATGTAACAGACAAATTGTTTTATACTATTTCCCCAATACAACTCACTAGTGAAATAATATTACATCAAAATTTGAGAAAAAGAGAAGTTATAAAAATTTGCAGCATAAACCTATCTTTCATCCATAAAACTGAAAGAAGAGGAAATTTAAAATTAGAAAAAAATTCAGAGCTCTGAGTCAATGTAAAAATCTAAATAATATATCATTAAACCAACAGAGCAAGACAGAAGTTCCGTAAAGGGAATATTGGTTACCTTAGATCAGTTTTGGATAAACTCGTCTATATTGAAAAGCATAGAAGCATGAAAACCTTCTAGAAGAATCACAGGGTCATATGACTCATCGTAGCCCTTCAAATTTAAAATCGACTCCAAATGGATTCCAAATCTAATTTCAAATTTTCAGGATAACATATATTAAAAAAAGATAAAGACTTTACGGAGATTGTTAAATTAATTATAATCACTACTAACATCTAAAAAGTTTCATTATTTTTCTTTCCTTAGTTCCATACTAACATTAATGTTAGCAAAACAAAGATAAGCTTCCAAGTTATCTTTTAAGCATTTAGAAAGGATAACTAGCCCAATTTATCTAGTATTCTCTGCAATGGTCATTTCCTTAAGGATTAGGGGCAACTTGAAATGATTCGAATATGATAATTTAAATGAAAGCTAATATGCTCCAACATTCTTTTTCTTCTCTTATGCATGCATTGTTCTGTACTTCTCTTTTATGTCTCAAAGTCTGCTTTATAAATCAATGAAGATAGAAGCATTGGAGACACTACAAAAACTTCAATGATAGTTCGCCTTTGTTTTGCAAATCACTTTGGAGAACAATACAAGGTCTAAAAAACCGGACCGAACCGGCCGGTTCAACCGGTTCGACTATGAATCGACCGGTTCAACCGGTTCGATTGTGAACCGGCCGATGGTCTGGTTTTGAGTAGGCTAAAAACCGTCTCTGCATCAAACTGACCATAATCAAATTGAACTGGCGGTTCAACCTGAAAATCGTCAAACTCGGCACAGTTCAAATGAACCGCTTTTATATTTATTGTTTATTTTTATTTTTGGAAATCCATTTCCAAGAATTTAAAATTTTGAGATGTGCAGCATTTTTTTGGAAATCCATTGAAAGCTGTATTTATTTTATATAGATATGAAAATTTTCTGAAGGCAAAACTATCGATGTGGGACTGAAGGTAGCTAGGAGAACTTTTATGTGGATTTTTAGTAATATTTACGTTACACGCATACCACTCAAACCTTATTTATTTACATATCTAACACCTAAACTTGTCTTTTGTATGTTTTTAGGAATATCTACATGCATACCACTCAAAGCTTATTTATTTACATATCTAACACCTAAACTTTTGTATGTTTTATATTTTTAGGAATATTTACATGCAAACCAATAAAATCTTATTTATTTACATTTCTAACGCCTAAACTTTTGTATTTTTATATTTTTAGGAATATTTACACGCATACCACTTAAATTTATTTATTTACATATCAAACACCTAAACTTGTATTTTTTTTTATTTTTAGGAATATTTACATGCATATCACTCAAATCTTATTTATTAACACGTCTAACACCTAAACTTGTATTTTTTTATAAATAGTCACTTAAATAATTTTTAAAAATAAAAAATTTTAGCTTTTACATGCATTCCACTCAAATCTTATTTATTTACTTATCTAACACCTAAACTTGTATTTTTTATATATATACCTCTTCAATAATTTTTAAAAATAATAAATTTAGCATTTACATGCATACCACTAAAATCTTATTTATTTACATATCTAACACAAAATTTGTATTTTTTATGAATATACCACTTAAATAATTTTTAAAAATAAAAAATTTTAGCATTTGTTTAATACATATAAAAAATTAATATAAAAAGGTATAAATAAATATTATTATTTAATTATTTTGAGTCAAAAAAGCTGAACACGAGCAAACAAATATTTATACATGTTCGGCTTGTTTATAAATCGAGCCTAAAAATATTTGTATTATTAATTTATTATATTATTATTATATTATTTAGCTCATATTTAATTAATTTATATATTTATTATGTAATTCGGTTTAACCCCGGTGGAATCAATGAACCTTGAACCTTTCCTTTGATGTCCGGTCCGGTTTTCACAACCTTGGAAAAATATGAATACTTCTAGGCAATCAACTCCAATTATCAAATGCACTCCTATAAAGCATAGCTTGATATAATAGAAAGAACGAATATGGACTGATTCACTCCTATAAAGAAGAATAGAGCAAATTGTTCCAAGCTTCATCAGTAAAGAAACAAAAATCAATTTTAAAAAGCATCTCAAGGATTTCTGAAGCATTGACACATTTTTTTATTATGTTGCTCAAACCTACCACTTCAATTTTATGTTATTTCATATTAACACCAAAACTTTCAAAAAATAGAAGAAGGTATATGATAAATGCCCAAAACTTGCAGAATAGTACAAAAATGAAGGGAACAGTAATAAAATGCCCAGGACTCGACATAATAGTACAAAAATGAAGGGAACAGTCATAGGGAGAAAGAAGACCAACAAACTCATACATAAGAAAATGAAAGCCCCATAAAAACACAAAACAGAAGAGAGCAAAAGCCCCATAAATTCACAAAATAGAAGAGGAAGAGAGGGATGAGCTGAGAGCCTAACCCCTAACTATTGTTATAGGGGAGGGCTTTAAACATCAAATCGGAAAATCAAAGTTATATTTGGATACAATCAGATGAAGTACATATCAGAACGAGTAGATGAATGAGCCGGATCGAAAACCTAGAAGATCGGCTAGAGTTTAGAGATGTGGGGTAGTGCTTGGAGAGTCGAGGGAGAAGATGTCCAAACTGTGTACATCATGACGGGACCCCTTGCTGCATTGAAAACGCTGCCCCAAACACAACGTAAGGCGTCTAAATCATTATAGTATTTAAAATATGATATTATAGTAAAAATTACTAATGAGAAAAATTCCTTTTTAACTATTTTATTGACTACAATTATTATCATTGAAGCATGCTAAACTTTTATTTGATCATTCATTTGATGTTTTTCTAAGATTAATACAGCCAAACTTTTTGCACTGTCACTACATCAATAACGGGGCAATAAATTGTCAACACAGCAGCTATGCCTTTCCACGCAGCTTTTGTTACATATACAGTCCAAGATCTTTCTGAAGTTTTATATCAGAAGCTATGGTAGAAGTGTCGTTTACGAGTCCAAGGGAAAATTAGGATGGCATTTGTTTTTCGGCAAATTGGTAGTTCCTTAGTCTAAATTTCTCATGCCAAACTAGCATGTTCATCATTTTTTAGTTTTTATTGTCATTAGCATTATGATGCTCACATTTATCTTTAGGGGTGTTTACATACATAGCTACAAAATTCTTTTGTATTTACATTTCTCAGACCTAAACTTTCTTGTTTACACATAGCACTGAAATTTTTAATATCACATCAAAATAGCACTATTATTACGTTTTAAAAGTTAAATAGACCTTTTAATGCATAGGTTTAAAGAACCAAAGTGCGATATGTGTAAACATGAAAGTTTAGCTGTGAGATATGTAAATAAATAAGAATTGTGTGCTACGTATGGTGATTTTCCTTATCTTTATCATTACCATATTGACTTCATCCCCACCCTTCTCCTAGTTCTAGCATCATTGCGCATACTATTATGCATGATGCTTTGTTTGCCACCACTTTACTGAAGTTTCTTTTCGAGTCTAGCTACTTTGTATTCCATCTCATGAAGGTATTAGCTTTAATAAACTTGGATGATGACTTTATGATTTACTTCTTTCTTTTATTTTTTTAATTAATTCCACACTTTTGGATGTAATAACTGTTCAATTTCAGCTTTTGGGAAAAGATTGTTATGATATTGATATAGCGTTGGACAACATGTTGGGTCGGGAATTCTGTGAAAAAGTCAATGAATATCTGCACTCTACTGGTGAAGAAGTACAAGGAATTGGTGTCATCCAATGGTATGTGGATTTTTTTAATTAGTCCATTCAGTCCAGATTTTGATATGTGAATGATTGATGAACGAGTTTACAACAAAAGGTTTGAAAATGATTAAGATGCTTTTACTTTCATTCATTGCTTTCTGAATTAAGATATGTACTTATGTTGGTGGTTTCTCATAGGTGGCGCTTGTTGATTGATACCCATTAACTTTATAGCTTTTTGTAGTTTGTGGTCAAGAGTTCAAACTACCAGAACAACAATTGTATTCTGCAAATACTAGTTTTATTTGGGATAATTTTTTTTTATTTTTTTTATTTTTTATTGGGGTTACAATTGAATCCAGCCTCAACTGTTAGTTCTATGATCATGCTTCATAGCTGTCTCTACTATGGCAAAAATGTTTCAGCTTCTTCTCATTTGTGCTTCACAAATTTCGTTCTTTCTGTTAATGTTTAGAACAAGGCATTCTATGAAAATTTTAGTACAAAAAATTTTCTTTTACTTAGTCAAATGGAATTTTTAATAGATACAGACTGCTCAGGTAGTCAGGTTTTAGTTTTTGCTGTATGCTTATTTGTGTGTGCCCACACACAATATTGGTTGTGATTCCATAACCTGTCGCTTTATTATTTTCACAACACTCGCGAAGGCTATACTATATCTCAAGAAACTTACATAAGTTTTCTCTGTTCATAGGCTTTAAATTAACTTATTTTGTAGAGGTTAGCTTAGTTACCAATATTGTAACAACGTCATATGATATTTAGCTCTTGCAAGAACAGTAAGATCTAAATATAGTAATATTGAAGTATTTTGCTTTCTATTGAATTCAAATCATAATATTCTTCTGTTGTGAGAATATTTAGATGTTTATTTGGAAGCACTTCTTAGTTGAACTTGCTTTCATGGCATATTTCCCTGCTATACTAGGAATTCTTTGTTCCACTTTTCTTTGCCTTTGTTATCTATCTTTATGCTTGAGCTCAGTCTTACTCCACTTTTCTTTGCCTTTGTTATCTATCTTTATGCATAACTTGAGCTCAGTATTTCATGGATATACTTCTCAATTAATCAATTATTGCTGTTATAAAAGTTTGATTTGGCTTAATAATTCATTAGCAACATGACTCTATGATGTGTTCCAGCAATCCAGATCAATCGAAACACCTGGAAACTGCTAGGATGTGCATATACAGTACATGGATTGATTTTGTGAACTTGAGATCTGAATCATATGCTGAGAACAGCCGCATCCCTAAAATGGTATACATACTATTTCATAATAACTGAGGTTTTTACCTGAGTTCGAACTTGTACAATTAATCATATGCTGAGAAACTATTTCATAATAACTGAGGTTTTTACCTGAGTTCAAACTTCTACAATTAATCCTATGCTGAGAACAGCAGCATCTCCTGAAGAGTTTATATCAAACTGTTGTTTGCTTTGCAGAAGTTTGGAACTGCTGAAGAAGATGCTTACCGTAGGGATCTAACTATCAATAGGTAGTATATCAAGTACTTTTTGTGTTTCTTTTTCATTAAAGCTATGCAAACTTGAACACACAGAAGAAGATGGGGGCTAAGTTTTTCCTGACAAATAATACAAATTGTGTTTTTTCTTCACTAGCTTTTTTTCCTTTCCAACTTATGATACATCTCTCATGTGTTCTATTCAATTATATATTATTTTAATTTACTACAACCAACCTTGGTATAATAATTACGTTAATTTAATGACTGGCTACCTTTTTGAATTGATCAATCATTTTATAATATAATAACATTCAACTATAAATGTTAATGGAGAATTATCAATTACAAAATAAAGACAGATTATATCAGAAGATGTAAATTGGGATTGAACGCTCTTATTAACACATTAGAATATCTCCATGCCCCTTTTTAGACTACCACACGTTGCATGTTGGCAAGATCTTACTTGCTAAGTTGACGGAAAATAACAGTACATAATGGGAAATTTTTGTCTGGTACAATCTCAACACCATTTATTCTCAGTGAGTTTAACTTTGCCTATCTTGTTGATTGATAAATGAACTTGTACATGAGAGGGGACACCTTTTTGTTCAACTGTAATTTTTCTTCCCACTCAAGAATAAAACTTCAGTTTTCACAATTTGCTACCTGATTTGCATTTTATTGCTCTGCTCTAGGACTACCGGTCAACCTTTTTAATGCTACTTGCTCACTGCTTGGCTGTTCCTTCAGCTCACATTTATTCTATCAATTGATGGCATGTTTAGGAAAAAAGGTTCACCTTCTGAACCTCTGCCTCAAAATTTTCTTTAGATGCTCTTCTGTAGACATCAAATTGGAAAAAAAAAAAAAAAGAAGTGCGGCAGGGCATATTGTGATTTAACCATTTCATTTTTTGTCTCCTCTATTTTCTTCTTTGATTGTCGATCTACATTAAACTAACATTCTTTTTTCTCAGTTTATTTTACAATATTAACACTACTTCAGTGGAAGATTTAACTGGAAGGGGTCAGTATTTTTTAAAAATTTAGTTGTTGCTTGATTATCGACATTGCTGCTCTCTCTACTTTGGCTTACTAGTTGTTCATTCAGGCGTTCAGGATCTGAAGGATGGATATATTGTCACTCCTTTACCGCCAAGAGAAACTTTCTTAGATGACCCACTTCGTGTTTTGCGAGCGATTCGTTTTGGTAAAAACATGATTTCCTCTGAGTTTTTTCCTATCATTTATACAAATTATTTGTTCATTTTGATTTTTCCTTATTTTTTTCCTTCTGTACATTTTTTAAATGGAATAAACTGATTCTGGTGGAGCATTTTTCCCTCAAATTTTATGAGCTGAGTTATGGTAATAGTTTGACCCTGGACTGAACTAGTTATGCTTAGTTTTTAGTGGAACTGGGATTTATATACTTACCTTGGCATCTTAGATTGACTTGCATTACATATTAGAGTTTGTTATCTTGTTTTTATTAGTTAGAATATTACTACTTCTTTATAGAAGTATATTTTCCTATATATGGAAAAAGGTTTCTTTAACATAACTGAATTTAGGCTTGAACTTCTGGACCGTCTCTTTAGTGGACCACATTGCAAAATGGTAACATGATATTACGTAATTAGTGTTTATAACTATGTTGGAATTCCTAATTAAGAACTTAAAAATATTATAAATTTAAGTGTTTTTTTTAATTGATGATCTAGCATATCAGTTATAGTCAGCGGCTGTTTATAACTATGTTGGAATTCCTAATTAAGAACTTAAAAATATTATAAATATAAGTGCCTTTTTTAATTGATGATCTAGCATATCAGTTATAGTCAGCGGCTAACTTTTCTTCCTAGTGTCAAGCTTTTTTCTCTTTTTTGTTGTTGGTCACTGCAACAGGTGCTAGGTTCAATTTTAAGTTGGATGAGGACCTAAAAATAGCTGCTTCTGATGAGGAAGTTAGAGATGCTCTCATGAGTAAAATTAGCCGAGAACGTGTTGGTCATGAGGTAATTTACATGTTCTTTTATGATAAACAATCTATTATAGATTTAATGAAAGAATTTTTATATACGTTGACGTACTATGCATTAGTTGGCTTTAGTACAATGTTTTGACTAATTTAATAACCTGGTGAATAATGCTGTGTTAAATTAATGTTTGATTGTTTTCTTCTTATATGTTGATTTTGTACAGATTGATCTGATGATTTCTGGAAATCGACCTGTCACAGCAATGTTTCATATTTGTGATTTGCAGTTGTTCCATGCTGTTTTCACATTGCCTGAGAACGCACAACCTGAGATTGTTGAGGGTTGTGACAGGTCTGTTTTTTTTTCAAAACAATTAAAGCTATATTGTTTCGTCATAAAATATTATGTATTTTCTCCATTGATTTTACTTTTGGATCCATGCATCTTACTGGAAATTATTTTTTGGTTAAATAGTTAGGAATAACTTTCAATTGATATTGTTACAATGAAATTGTTCCAAATCCTAAACTAAATGGTAAACGGTGATTCGTTGTCAATATAAGAATTACTTTAACATTTTCTCCATCTGCTTGTCCTTTTTAAATTAGATTTAGCCTCCTTATTCTCCATTGTAAACTTTTTACGGCTCTCTTACTTTATATTTGCCAATGGACAGACTGTGTGTTTCATATATGGAAGCAGCATTGAATGTGCTTCAACTAATAGGCTTTTCGACATTCAGTGTAAGTTCCTAATTTCTGAGTTTATGTTTCTTTTCTTTACTGATCAAACAGGATCCTTTTAATGAGGCGACTGAAATAACTGCATGCAAGGGAACTCATACTTTTAGTTTACTATGTATATCGTCTATAAATTAAGGTCTTAAAAAATTCCTACATAAATGTGTTTGCCAGTGTTTGTTTTGATCTTATTACATGGGTATGCTATTAATTTCTTGACTCGTATTCTCTTTTCAATTACTCTTTCTAAGCATTTTGGTTATTTTACCAATTACTTTTATACCATTTATTCTTGAGGATATTCTAGGTGATGACTTCCATCAAAATTAGGGCGAGCAAAATTTTATTCTCTTCAATAACACAAAACAATACAACACAATACATAAAAGTTAAACACCTACAATTTGAAGGGTAGGTGATCTCTCCCAAACTCTAATCCTAAGACCAAGACAATAATCTCATAACATACCTAACCCTAAGCATAATAAGCCCTAATAATAATAACCAATAAAAGACTAAATTGCCCTTAAGCGCTATTCTAATATTACTCCCCTCCCAAGAAGACCCATTGTCCTCAAGGTGAAAAAAAGAAACTACTGCTTAATCAAGTCACGTGGCTCTCTCATAAATTGACTTAACTCTGGCTCTCTCGTTCAACACTTAATTGAAATAAGTGATGTGTCATTAAAGCTTCTTGAGGACTGCGTCTAATTCATAGCCTGAAGCATCCGTCCTAACAATAAAATGTTGGTTGAAATGAGGTAACGTCAACATTGGTACACTCATTGTGGCTATCTTTTACTTCTCAAAAGTCTGGTTCGTTGTTTTCTCCACTGTAAGTTCTCATTCTTAATTTCTTCGTCAGCAGCCATACAATCGAATTGCAACAACCCTTCACTAACTTCCAATAGTAAAATCTAGAATCCTCTCAGCCCCTTCACGATCTTGGATAGTGGTCACTCCAACATAGGCACCACCGTTGATTGACATGCCAATATCGAGGTCTTCCATAAACGAGGGTCACCACAAAACTCTTTTCTCCTCCTAAATACACCGTAATGTCAAAATCAGTTTATCACAAACTCATGCTCTTCTCCACCTTTCATGCCCTCATCATTACTCCTGAATCACCTTCCGCCAAAAGGCTGCCAAAATAAAAGGCTTTGGCAAAATTGGATATAGCACTCTGTTGGGGTCTTACCCGCCTTTGTTCCTTGTTCTAGGTCAAAATTCTTCGAAGCGATCGTCTTAAATTCCAAATTGCACGCCACCGCTGTCAATCTTTCCAAACCTTATGTAGCATCATTGCTTCTAGTTGTTGCCGCTTGAATAGCTCCAACTCCGTCGCTCAATTTTGCATGCTTGCGTTCGTTCCAGTTTTTTAGATGTTGCGCAATTCCTTCTAAGTGTTGCCGCTTGAATCCGCTCCCGACTTCTCTTAATCTTATGACTCCATATGATGCGGGGGCCTCTGAACCGACGACTGACCCAGTTGAGAAGGCTGGCTCATTTCAAGGAGGGAGGCAAGGGGACCGACCGACCCAATTATTTGGGTTAGGGTTGCTGCCCAAGTGCTCTTAGCTATCTATTATTATAAATGTGTTCTTTCCTTGGTTCATGGTTTTTTTTTTTCCGAGTTTTCTCCTCCAACATGCCCTTTTTCTTTCTAGGCCTGTATCAGATAGCGAGAAGGTGCTGCGGCTGTAATTCATCAGAGGTGGTATGTATCCTACCTTTTCTCCCTCTTCCTTGCTGCTGCCTAACACTCCCACACATTCTGTGCTACAAACCACAAACCCTTAGGCACTCTTTTATTGTCGCTTAACTCTCCCACACCTTACTTGCATAATGTCGCGATCCTTCTCTCACGTCCAACCACAGCCTTCACAACTGAAATCATCTCTTGGTTTTTTTCCCTCCATCCGTAGATTTCTAACAACTGCTTGTTCTCAGTTTTTCCCCTTCAACCGACCCCCTTCATCCCTTGCCCTTCTCTCGTTCCCCCTTACCTTCCAACCACCTTTTCGCTCTCACCTGACCCCTCCCTACCTGCACTGACCTGCTCATCCCAACACCCTCCTACGCCACTTCTGCTTGTTGTCCATGACCCTAAGCCAGCTCGTCGGCGTTCCACCTTTTGTCTTGCATTGCTCTAGCGAGACATTTGTGTTGGGTGATGTTTTCTTTCTTTTTTTTGAGGTCGTGATTTTAATTCCAATGCTTTTGCATAGTAAAAATTTGATTCCCTATTGGGTTTTTGGTTAACACTGGTATCAATTGATATTAAAGCTAGCTTAATCCTTGTCATATCATAAGATTTCTTAGTATCTACCATACCAAACCATCTCCACCAAATACCTTTTTTCACTCTCACAACTCCCAAATCATAAACATGCCACCGAAGAGATACAGGCCCGAGTCTACCCAGAAAGAGATACACCAAGAACTCTGTCGTCTTCAGTAGAGACTTGCGGAGATTGATGAGGAAACCCAGGAGGAAATTTCTCTCGATCGTGACATGGAACGTCGAATGGAGAAATGGACGAGGATTTGAATCTCTTCTATATGGACGACCTTAGTGATGAAGAGGACATGCCACGACATTTTAAAATCTAGTATCAGAGGAGACCAAGAGAAGAGACCACGTATGAAGGACATAGGAACTTCGACATCAAAGTGGATCTATCAAAATTTGATGGAGGTATGGATCCAGACAATTTTATTTAAAGACTGCAATCAATTGAGTGAATCTTTGAGTATAAGTAAGTGTCAAAGGATAAAGAGGTGAAACTAGCAGCCATTAACTTGAAGAAGAGTGTTTTATGTGTGGTGGGAAAACTTGCAGAACAGAGAAAAAGAGAGGGCAGTGACAAGATTATCATGTTTTACAAAATGAGGAAGGAGATGCAGAGAAAATACATACTCCCTCATTACTTTCAGGATATGTTTATGAGACTCCAACACCTACAACAGAAATCCCTATTAGTGGAGGAGTTCATAACTCTGTTTGACCAGTTGCAGATTGAAGTATGAGTTAGTCGAACCATAGAAACATTCTATTGCCCGATATTTGGGGGGTTGAAGCTCATTATCAAGAACTTCGTCCAACTACAGCTTTATTGGTCGCTGATAGATGTTTAGTTCTTAGCCTTAAAGGTGAGGAGCTAGCAGAAAGAGAGTAGGCAAGCAACCCCATCCAGGAAGCCACCCATAGCTGAATACAACAATAAGAGCACGTCTTAAGGAGTTGAGAAACTGGTTTGAATGAGGATAAAACCACCCCGAGTGAGAAAAAATCTGAGAAGAGTAACATGCTTATTACAACCCCTGCTTGAAAATGCTTCAGATGCCATGAATTTGGGCACATCACCTCTACCTGCCCGATGAGCCGAGTTGTGTTTTTTACCTAACAGGGCACAGTGGAGGAGGTTAGCGACGAGCATGCAACTGAGGAGCGGGTTGAGGTGTATCATTGTTATGAGGGTGCCTAGCCTAAAGGCAATTTTGGCTTTTATTATTATATTTGTTGAGTAGAAATAGGTTTGTTATATATCTAGAGTCTGGGTTTTGGATGAGATTGAGTTTTAAGTTTAGAGTTTGGGAGAGATTTCCTACCTCTCGAATTATAGGAATTAAGAGAGATTGTTTACCTCTCGAATTGTAGTTGCTCATCTTTTATATTCGTCAGAGTTGTTTGGATTATGGAAATAAAAATTTGTGTTTGCCCTAGTTTTTGTGTAAAAGCATGTTGATTTCTTCCTCATATCGTATCAAATTAGTATTAGAGCTTAAGATTTTGGGAATCATATTGATATAAGAGAGGATCGATTGACTCGACCAAAAGTTGAATCAAATCGTCGCTTTCTTGGCAAGGATTTCAGTAGACAGAGCCCTTTATTTCCGCGTACAAAGCTTTGGAAACTAACAAGAGATTGCGATGTTCAATGATCGGGACGTTCAGAGCTGAAACAATCACGGGTAGCGTCACGGGATGGGCCACTACAGTCGCGATTGTTGCTCTTGCCTGATTGACACTCGTGATACAATGTGATTCCAGTGATACAATCGTGATACTAGCGGGTTGGGGAAGTTGTGACGCACTGTTTCTCGCGATACAATTGCGATCAGACCTAGATAGGAAGGCAACAACCAGGAAGTGGCGCACCTACGTGATACAATCATGATCAGAGCTAGTTGGGAAGGCAACCACAAGAGATCGCAGCGAACGGAGACCCGAAGCTCCCATATTCCAGGATCGCGCTGAACTGTGCGCGTACAATCGCAGTAGGTACTATGGAAGTGACAATGGGATTGATGGGATTGACGTGATCTAGAAACACTGATTTTACGTACAATTGTGATTAGAGTTGGCTGAGGAGAGACGACAAGATTTTGGTGTATAAAAATTTGTCTTTTGAAATTGATAATTTTTTTGAAAGAGATGGCAATAAAGAAAGTAGATGATCTAGAGAAGAAATTAGAGGAAAAGATGAGTCAAATCATATATGGAATGGAAGAAATGTTCTTCCTCATAGATGAGAGGTTCTCTTCTTTGGAGAACCGACTGGAGGTTGATTTGAGAGCATAAGGGAAATTCAAGATATGTTAAAAAGGCTCATTGAGATGCAATCCAAGAACCCGCCGACAGATCAATGTGCAAGTGCTAATAAAATGTTGACTGGAGAATCTGTAGTAAGATCAAAAGGAAAAGATATAGAACATGAGGAAAACATCTACCATCACGAACCTCTTTTTAGGGCCCCTATTAGTGGTGGATTAGAGATTTCTAATGGGATGGTTGGGCCAAAACATGGAAAATAGATTATGTCAGATGTATGGAGGAGCACGAAGAAGAAGGGAGAAAAGCAGGGAAGGGATATGGCTGCGATCGAAGGAAGGAGTTTTACCCTCGATACTTGAAGGGAAACAATGAAGGAAGAGGAAGTTGGGGTGGAGATGTTAGAATTAGGAAGTTGAAGATGTTGATCTTCAAGGGGGAAGAC